AAAACTGCGGGGAACTCTGCAAAAAACGCATCTTCGCACGGGCAGCCCGTGCGTTCGCCATTTATTTTTTTGGTGGAAAAGCCGACTAAAATCAGAAATTTTAAATCGCAGCAACATCGATTCCACAATTGTATCGCATAAGTATAAATGTCATAACGTTCTGAAATCTGTGTTGTTGCGATTCAAGAATTTTTTCAATTGATTGCAAAGAACGAGCTGCTACTAGTTTGCAGGAGCAGCGGCAGCAACTAATCAGAATGGAAAGGATGACGATGATGTGAGCGTTGCGGGCACCGTGTTTAACGAACCCTGGGATTCCACCGTCTGGGAAAATTTATTAGATCTTGCACACTATGGTGATGAAAAGCCATCCACACTCACAAGGCACTACGAATTGAATCAGATCGGCAGCGTCGGTTCGATTTGTTCTTTCTCCAAAATTTGTTCGTGAGAATGAAATTTTTTCTTCGTTTTTCCCGTATTTTTTTTTACCACAGGGAGACGGTAATTTGATTGTGTTTACTTTGACTTTCGTCTGAATTACCGGACTGTTATATTCGAATGGACTGTGATCAGTAGATAACTTACAGCAGTTTGTCGGATATTGAAAAGAAATTCAAATCAGTTTTTTTTTTAAAAATCAGGCTCCGCTTTTAATCATTATTAATTAAAAAGTAAATTTTTTTTTGAAATAGTGTAAGGTGAGCTGATTGGAAAGAAGTACCTGACTCGGCTAAATCCGATATAAACTTGCATCGCAGCAGCACTGAGGTTTTGTGTCCACAGACTTTGCGCATTGAAAATCGCTCTTCCTAAAATTCACCAGCAAACTTGGCCTTGATTGCTTACTTCTACCAGCTTTCGTTTTCATCTGCGCCTTCGTCGTTCGCTGACAGTTTCGTCGTATTCAGGTGATGCGATAGCTGAAGAGGAAGGAGATGATGAAGTGGCCTGTTCATTGGAAATGAGTTATGATGGCGAGGAAGAGCGAAATCTCCAAAAATCGCAGCAACATCATCTTAGTGGCAAGCGATGTAAGTTTCTTTTTTTTTTTTTTTTTCAAATTTCAATGTCTTGTGCTTGTATTGCTTTTTTTTTTTGCTCGCATTTGGAAAGAAAGATCCCAGTTTTGACAAGATTACCCTGTCAGCAGTGGAATTATGATTCTGGGTGGCTTGAACTGCCCGGAAACTGTATTCACTTGAGAAAATGCTTTGGAAAGCTCGGTTTTTAGAAAAATATTCAATTATTTTTTATAGGCAATTTTTGAAGCAGTTTCTGTTCTCATTTTTGTCCCACTTTTATTACATTTTACTGAGATAGAGAGCTCTGTCCTTGTATACTCAGTCTCCGCATCATTTTGTAAGTTGCAAATACCACAGATATTTTAGGCAGTGACGATTATGGCACTGTGGTTCGTCGACTGGACAACCACAGCCTGGCGGAATCAGATGGCCGGCGAAACGGCGTCATCAATATTCACGCTCATTTGAAAAATGAAAGTAGCTTACGCCGGCAGCAGCTTGAAGCAAGCAGGTCTGTTTGTTGTGTATAAGTGAAATTTTGGCATTCAAAGGTTTTGCAAAATGTAGCAGAGAGTCTTTGGCTTTAATTTCTCTGACTCGCATTTCG